TTGACATGGATACTTGCTTTTGAGGTATGGATAATCAATTCTGTGCATGTGACGTGCTTTTGCAGGCTATCCACTAGGTTTTGCAGTTTGCACTAATTGTTTTGGGAAGTGTACTAACTGCTGTGCAAATGTTAATGGTGTTCTGAGAAACGCACCAAAGCGACTGAGAAAAACTGTAAAGAAAATTCTGTGTAAGCAAAGGGTTTGATGAGCCAGAGTCTTATTATTGACCCAAGGTTTACTTTACATTCACGTCAATAAAGCTTTGGAGAAAGCAAATAATCTACAGTGCATGAAAAGGAGATCCATTATATGGTCATCACAGGTCCACAGCTCTAGCTGTGAGCACAGAAGCTCCACCCACCTGCTGTTCAAACCTTCTGTTTGTCAGGGGCAGCCAATCAGAAGAAAGTAGGATTAAAGTTCGGGTAGTTACAAAGAAAGCTTGTTTCATACAGAAGATGATTTAAGAGGCTACATCAAGGCCCAGAGCGCATGCATTTTATTTATTTATATTTTTTGGTAATTGTTGCAGTTCTTCTGAATACAGTGTGTGCTTTGAATTTCTTCCTGTATAACTGAAGTCACATGACTAATCTGTTATATATTGTATATGCTCTGTGCATTACCTTGGGATGGGTGGGTCCGGGTCCATTTGCACGGATTTATTTGTTTAATAACTGGAAGTTGTGCTGCACGACCCTGGGGGCCACATAATAACACACTCTGGTGCTAAGTCATCACTAATGCCTGATCCGAGCTAAATGGACCTAGTTAAGGCTCTTCCTCCATCCTGTCCCCTGTTCCCCGTTGTACAGTAGCATCTTTCATCAGCTCTCCTGAGACGTCCTTCCAGTGACCACGAGGTGTATATAAGACCCGCTGAGGATGTGACCAGCACTGAAGTTCGTTCTTAGCAAGTCTGCTTAGACAGCCATCTTCTTCTCTTTCCTCTTCTATATTTGTCATCAGTGTTTGTCTGACCTCCTCTCAAGTCTGAGAACATGGACACAGCTGCAGCAGTGACTCTTCTGGCACTGATTATGGCGATGGCTGGCGTCAGTCACGCTCTTCATATCCAAGCCGGCCTGGACAAAAATGACATCTTGCCTGGCAGCTCAGAGGAGAGCATGCCTGACCGCCTGTTGGGGCTGGTGAGACAATCAAACCACTGAAAAACTTGTTAATTTTCATTTCACGTACATTTTGACAGTTTATTTTATGTCAGGTCCAAGATCATTTGAAGCTTTAAAACTGAAATCCTATCGCTGAAGCACATGTGGTGATTTTTATGCATACTTTGTGCCTGATTTAAATATGGACTGCCTGCTCTGGTACATGCCAACATTTTCTGAGAGGATTGTATGTAAATGCGACTTGAGCCTTTTATCAAATGAGACAGGATAAATCACACAGCCCATTTAGATTTCAGATGGTGTTCCTCTTCATGCAACAGTGTGAAATACACTGTTATATATTCTGGTGTGAGCAGATAGTCGGGGGCAGGATAGCGAATCAGATAAAGGACAAGAAGATCACGAGTACTAGATTTTCTCTTTGTGACATGCAGGGACGGACAGATCTGGGTTTTACTTTGCATAAAATGAAGCGAATGGATATTTTGGTGTGCACCATGTACATCTCTCAGCCTTGGTGCCTTAATATCTACATCTCAAGGCTTTTTGCCACAGTAGGACAGACTGTTTGGAGTCATCAGCCTTTTAAGTTTGTGATGTTCTTCATGTTCTATTTTTTTAAAAAAAGAAGAAAGTTTGACACGACGGTGTGTGCTTGTGTAGCCTTAAATGTGCCCTGGTGTGTTCCAGGAGAGTGAAAACAGAGATAGCGACACTGATGATCGCTTGCTGACTTCATTGCTGAGAGCCCTGCTGCACGGAGCCCAGAGAGAAGCCAGGGAGTCTGTCCTCCATCAGCCACAGAGGTCAGTGGCATCACAGCGCCTGTATTAATCTACATTTCAAGTTTTCAGATGTGTTTACAGAAAAACACTAATATAGGAAGTTCACTGATGTAGTTTGGGCTTGTCACCAAATCATTTTTTACCCATTCTTTGTTCAAAAATACACCATGCGGGTAGTTTGTAACTATTTAAAGGGATTATGATATACAGTAGGTCGCACCGTGTACTGGAAGACAGGAAGAGGAAAATCCATTTAGCCATTTGCAACTACTTTCCATATCTGAATTTTAAAAGATGAAAATGACCCATTATGTACTTGAAATGTCCGTTTGTAAAAATCATTCACAGTCAAAATGATTCTTATGGCAAAGCTGGGTTCATTAAACTGGTCTCATCTTCAAGCGACCTTCCTCTGTAACAGCCCTTCAAGCTCAAATGTAACTGAGGCCCAGCTAAGATCACAGCATCAACATCAATATTTTGTATTTTCTGGTCTGCGTTTACAGATGTTTATTTATCTAAAATCATAGTTTGGAGTTGAATTAATTGAAATAATTCCCACTCTTGGTGCTTTTCCCGTCACAGGTTTGGCCGCAGCTCCAGAGGGCAGGTTGTGCTGGAGGATCAGATGCATTCCCGTGACTGGGAGGCTGCCCCCGGTCAGATCTGGAGTATGGCCGTGCCCCAGAGATTTGGCAAGAAGTAATGTTGCAGTCATGCGGTGTTGCCCTGGTGGAAGGTCAAGCAGCCGAGAGTTATAAAGATACTAGATTTGTTCCACTCTAAGCTCCAGCCCACTAGGCTTGACTTTACACCTGGTGTCCAGTGAAAGATGACACTAGCTTAATCTTTCATGATTATGATTGTTGTTATTTTCTTTGAATTTCCAACACTGGGAAGCACGGTGACTGGTGATTGTTTGGATCGGCATGTTAAGGACTGAAAATG